CCCCCCCCGCCCCGGGGGTGACTCTGGGCCAGCATCGCGTCCAGGCTGCTGTGTCCAGGGCTCTGGCCCAGAGGGAGCAACAACCGTCCTCTGTAAACTCTGCTGCCTGCTGTCCCTCTGTTGGTTGGTCCCCACACATTCATTTTGTATCTGTTTACATCCCCCGTCAGTCCAGAAAGGGATTCACGGTGGCTTAGAAGTAGGTCCGGCGCACGGCCTACAAGGCAGCGGACTCTGCACTTGTTCCTCAGACTCCTGCAGAGGCTAAGCTGGCTATTGGGTCACGAGCTGGTGGGAAAAGGTGGGAACAAGTGTCTACGTAGGTCATCAGTGGGCACAGCTGTCAGGCAGAGGGAAGCCGTGGGTACGGTAACGGAGGGGGTAAGAGCCGCCCCCCGCCCCCGCAGCACCTTTGTGACCGAACTCACACCCTGCTCTGGGGGCCGACCCTGCGCTTGGCTGCTCAGCTTGCTCTCTGGGCTCCCGGCATCTGGCAGTTGTCAGTGTCGCCTTTACACCAGGAGTGGGGTGCGGACATGGCGTCTAGCCTCAGGATAGTCAGAGCCGGACACCTTGGGACCCGGCGAGAGCTCCAGCCCCGAGCGGACTCAGTGGTGAAATGTGGGAGCCAGGGCCCCAGGAAGCGGTGAGAGGCTTGGCCCAGCGTGCAGTGTCTGGGTCTGAGTCCGGTTCTGCCCAGCATCGCCCTCTGCGAGGCAGGGCCGGTGGCCTGAGCTCTCCTAGGAATGTTCCCGGAGGTGGCGCCCACACGGAGTGAGCCCCGCAGTAGCGTGGCAAGGGTGCCTCCTGACTGTCCGCTGTGTCCCGCAGCATGGCCATGACCGTGCAGATCCTGCTGAAGCTGGACCGCCTGGACCTCGCCCGGTAAGCCTCTGTTTGGCCCCACCTGGGGCTCTTAAGGCTGTCTGAGCAGCGGGCCAGGCCACATCGGGACCCCGTGCTCTCGAGAAGCCAGGCCTCCGCCTGCTGGGGACGCTTAGCATGGGGACCCTCCCTGCGCCCTTCCCGAGGCCCAGAGTATTAGTGCTGTGATCGCTTCTCCTAGTACTTAATTCTAGTCCATTGTGGTGATGCACTGTCATCTACTTGCCCACCCCTGCAGGATGTTGCCTGGGACGAGGGGTGGAGCTGTCCGTGCCTCAGTTTCCTTATGTGACGTGGGAAGTGGGATCTGCAGAGTTGGGCTGGGCTTCACAAGTATGCGGTGGGGGCTGTCGGGCCAGAGCCGGGAGCCAGCACCAGTGTGTGCCTCGTGAGCAAGCGGCGCGGGGGGCTCCCTCCCACCCTTCCTGTGTCCCCAGGAAGGAGCTGAAGAAAATGCAGGACCAGGACGAGGATGCTACCCTCACCCAGCTGGCTACGGCATGGGTCAATCTGGCTGTGGTGAGCCCCTGGGCCGTGCTGGAGGATTGGGGGGAGCATCAGAGAGCTGGGAGGATCCCCTGCCTGCAGTGCTGGCCGCTCCCGTGGGGAGAATGCCGGTGTGGGGTTCTGCGGACACATCGGATCTCTGCTTCCTTTGGAGCCAGGGCCCATCCCCCAGGAGAGCCCCCCACCCCTTGCACATTTCATTTCCCACTTTGTTCATCCCAACCCCATTCCCGGCTCCTCCTAGCCGAGTGGCTTAGCCAGAGCCAGAGCGGATGAGCTGGGAGGCTCTGGAACCAGACCTGGTGTACTGACTGGGCCACCCTGGCAGTGTGGCCTCCTCATGGGGCTGACCCGGGGCTTGGCTCCTGCTCAGCTTGCTCTCTGGGCTTTTGGCATTGGGCAGTTGCCAGTGTCCCCCTCCTACCTTCCCCTCCACCCAGCCCCTCCCTCCCTCCCGCACGTCTGCCCCCATCTCTTGGCAGTGGCCTCTTTTCAGGCTTTTGGCGCTGGGCTTCCTTTCTCTGAGCCATTTTTGTATGGGTTTCTTAAAATGTGTTCCCCATCCTCGTGCGCCTGCACTGCCCTTGGGGGCCCGAGGCCTCACCCAGGCCGCTTTCCAACATCTGTCCGGTTCAGTAGGGTGAACCCTGCCCACTCTTTGTGCCAGCTTGGTGGTGTTTCCACAAGCACATCTTGGTCTCAGGCTCCCCCACGAAAGTGCTGCTGCGTCTTTCACAGGCAGACAGAACCTGAGTGGTTGGGGTCAGGACTGCCGGTGACAGAGAGGGGCCGCCCGTACCGGGATCACCTCGGCGAAGTGCTGGCATCCTGCTCTAGGAGGGAGCGGGCAGCGGTCGGGCCGGGAGGCAGGGTGACGAGCCAGTGGTGTTGGAACCGTCCCTGCAGGGTGGTGACAAGCTGCAGGATGCCTACTACATCTTCCAGGAGATGGCCGACAAGTGCTCATCCACCCTGCTGCTGCTCAACGGGCAGGCGGCCTGCCACATGGCCCAGGGCCGCTGGGAGGCCGCCGAAGGCGTGCTGCAGGAGGCACTGGACAAGGTACATCGGGCCCAGCCCACACCCCGGCTCCTGGTGCAGGCGGCGCGGGGCTCGGGCTTTTTCGGAGGCACACTGGGCAGAGGGAGACCCCGGGGGCCTGTGCTGTGTTCACGTGGGATTGTATTTTAATGCCAGGTCAGCTAAAAATTGGGATTGCAACTGAAAACGTTGATTCTCTTTTCTCTCGGAAATGCGAGGGATCCCATCAGCTTGGGCTTCCGCTGGCTTGAGCGGAGCAAATGTTCTCTCTGTCACCTTGACTACCTGGTCTGGGGCCCTCGACGTGATTGTCACCTGAGCCTGTACTTGAAAGAGACACCTGCCGTTTATCACCAAGGGGAGAGCAGGCCGCAGACTGGGAGACGTTGCCTGGCCTGTCCTCGTCTAGAAGAGGGACCAAGGGCACTGTCCTCTCAGGGTAGCCCCAGCTGTCTTCTCCCAACCAGTATCGGAGGTCGTGTGTTATTTTTATAATCAGTAGAAACATCGATTTTTTTTTCCCACTTTTGGAAAACATTTTCTTTTTAATTAAAAAATTTGTTCATGTTTATTTTTGAGAGGGAGACAGAGTGTGAGTAGAGAGAGGGAGACACAGGAGCTGTCAGCACAGAGCCCGAGACGGGGCTCGAACTCACAAACCGTGAGATCATGACCTGAGCTGAAGTCGGCCGCTCAACCGACTGAGCCGCCCAGGCGCCCCTGGAACACATTTCTTGATATAACGAGAAATGGACACCGGTAGGAGGCCTTCTCTCCTTTATCTCTGGGAGGAGCTGAGTTACCATCGGAAGGCTATGTGCAGATCAGGGACGGGCGTCAGGTGCTCCTCGGGCCGCACTTGCGGAGCTCCCGGCCCCGCCCCCTGCCCTGTGCCTGCGCGGGTCCCCACGCCTCCTTGACAGGGTCTGACTATAGCTGGACTTCTGTATGCAGTTAGGGCTAGTCAGGAAGGCCTGGCCTGGTGGGGCGTCTCTGCCCCAGAAGGAGAGGGCAGTAGGGTCCCCAGTCAAATGACACCCATCTGTCCTCGTTCTCTGAGACACCAGCTGGGCTGGCTTGCTGCCCCATGGCCCTGACCCCCTGATGGCCGTAGGTCTTCCATGGCATCGCTCAACCCTGTGCCTGTGGGCCACCCCATGCTTCTGACCGTTCTCCCCATTCCTTTTGGAATGTTGCTCCTGTGAGCTCGTGTCGTCGTCCCCCATTAGAGCAGCGAGGCGACTAAGGCCGGGAGAAGGGGAGTTTCCCCAAAGAAGGGCAGCCACGGAGTGGAGCCCGGTCTGTGCGGGAGGCTGGGGTCCTCGAGCCCACAGCGCTGTGTGTCCGAGTTGCCGTGTCTCTGCTCCATGTGCCCCTCAGGGCTCCCTGCGGTGTCCCTGCCTCAGAGCCACCAGGGGCTCCGTCTGGGGTTCCTGGCCAAGGGGGTCCTGGGCCAGTTCCCAGGGTTCCCTCTGCCTTGGAGCCCCGCGCGGGCGGGTGGGGTGAGGTCAGCCGCTTGGATGTTCTGGTAATTTTCCCGGCAGCTTCTTGCCGAGGCCCCCGGAGAGCAGGAGGCACGGGTGGGGTCTGCCCCGGGTCTTAGACCTCATTTTTACAGCAAGAGGGACAGCTTGGCTCTGAGGGTGTGGACACTGTCTTGGCCTGGGCTCTGTTACTTTGAGATTGGTATGGTAAACACACCCGTTCCACAAGCGATAAGCCACGGGGCTCTGTCCCATCCTAGTCTGCAAGATGAGACAGCAGGCACAGAGGGGAAGCCGCTGTTTCAGGGAGGTAGGGAGGGGCTGGGGCTCCCTCGAGGGCCTCGAGGTCACTGCCTTGCAGGGTGGCCAGTGGGCGCACTTTGGGTCTTGCAGCACCCCCTGCCCCGCCTCTGGGGGTGTGACCTTGTGTGGGTCGCGTCTTCACCCTGGGACAGTGGAAGGCATCCTTCTGCCTCATATGGGGCCAGGCCGGCTGAGTTGGAGGCCTGGGGGAGCTGACCCTGCTCGCCTGGTGTCCCCCATGTTTGCAGGACAGTGGCCACCCGGAGACACTGATCAACCTCATCGTCCTGTCACAGCACCTGGGCAAGCCCCCTGAGGTAGGACCTTCCGGGGCAGGGGATGTTTTCTGGCCCCCGCGGTGACATCCTGAAGTGAGCAGGGCTCTGTGATGTGGCCCCCGCTCCAGATGAAGCTCAGGATCTCGGGCAGAAACCCATTCCTATGGAGGGGGTCACTTGCCATCAGCCTGAGGGGCCCTGGGAAGTTGGTGTTGGTGGTGCACCCCTAGGGTCGTACCTTGGCCAGGGTTATAGGGCCGCTGCTCCCATGGGCCCTACAAACTAGTGGGCTGTGGCTCAGAGGGTGAGCCGAGCTGGGACCCCCACCTGTGCCACCTCTGGGTGGGGGGTGGGCAAAAGAACAGAGGAAAGGGGCCCAGGGGAACAATCCCTGTGAGCCCACCTTGTTGGAGGGCAGGGAGGGTAGGAGGACTGACTGGCCCAGTTGGCCAGGGGCCCTCCCAGGGTTTCCTGTCAGTCACCCATCCCTTGTGGAAGGGCCCCCAGAGCTAGGGCAGTGCAGCACAGACAGGACGACTCTCACTCACCCCAGAAATAGCATGGACCCCTGGTCTCGGGAAGACAGATGCCCCCGCCCTGTGCAGTCAGGGCTAGGCCCAGGGAGGTGGGGTGAAGCTGGGGGCAAGGGGTCTGCCTAGGGTCCAGGTTCCATTACCAAGATCTCTGGGGTTTCTCTGTACGGTGTGCCCAGAACAAACCCACCTCCCCTCCTAACCCTGTCCCGCCTGACCTGCCCTGTGCTCCTCCTGGCCCTCCGCCCTCTTCTGGGGCCTGGGTCCCTGGTCCCTTCCAGTCTCCTCACCCTGAACTCTGTGGCACATCCTCCAGCTGTGTGCTAAGCCTGGGCTCTGTGCCAGGCGCTGTTCCAGGTGGTCCCCCCGCCCCTGCCCCGCCCCGCCCCTGATGGTCCTCTGTCAGCCTGATTTCGGGGTGGGGTGATAGAGGTAATGGGAGACCACGGCTCTTGCTTGGTGTCAGCTGGGAGGTCCCCACCCCACCCCTCCCCTTGCCCTGTGTGTGAGAGCCACTTGGGGGGCCCCTAAGCACCTAACCTCGCCTCACCTCTCCTGCAGGTGACAAACCGCTACCTGTCCCAGCTGAAGGATGCACACAGGTCCCACCCTTTCATCAAGGAGTACCAGGCCAAGGTGAGCCCAAGCTGGCGGTGTGTCCCAGATCCCCAGACCCCCTCAGGCTGGGCCAGGGAAGGCCCGTGACTGGGGTCCCAACTCATGTTCTCTCTGTTTCTCTTTCTGCGCCCATCATTCGCAATCCATGTTGAAGGAGAATGACTTTGACCGGCTGGTGCTGCAGTACGCTCCCAGCGCCTGAGGCTGGCCCCTGACGCGGTTCCCGGGCCGTGGCACAGCGAGGCCAGGCATTGCACCCGCCCTGCTGGGCACCCATCCTCGTGTTCTCTCACGTTTTCTGGCCAGAAGCTTAGCCTGGCCCCATTTTGTCAATAAATGTCTCCACCACAGGTATACCCCCCCGATCCATGTTTGCTCTGGCCGCTTTGGGAGGGACATGTGGGAACCATGGCTCGAAAGGGACGGTCTTGGGCACTGTCACCCAGGGTTTTTCCTGGGAGGGGAGCCCTGGAGACCAGGGTCTGCGAGCAGCAGGTGCACACCCCTTGAACAGCCACCCTGTGATGCTGAGCTACAAGTGGCACAGCCGTGTCTCCCAAGCTCACTTGGCATCCAGGGAAACTGAGGTACAGGGTGGTCACAGCCATTACGAGGGGCATTCTGGGCTCAAAACCCGTATCCAGGTGTCGTCTGTAGGTGGTGAGGGAGGTAGGAAGTGCCCCGGCCTCAGTTCAGCCACATGGGGAGGGTATGTGCAGGGAGCAAATACCTCCCCCCCCCCCACAACCCCACCCAACCATCTGCTGCCCTGTGGGGAGTCCTCAGCCGGGACTGAGACCTGCTGCTGCTGGGGCTGTGGGCGTGGGAGGGCACAGTGGCTGAGGCACCGAGCTCTCTACCTGGAGAGAGAAATCCATGGTGAGCACCCTTCCATAAGAGAAAGCCAGGGAATTAGCTGGAATCTCTTATCTAGAGAGAGGGAGGTAGGCAAGCAGGGGAGTGGTGTTGGCTGGGCCTCTTAGATGAGGTCACCATTGAGCTGTATCCACCCAAACAGCTGGAAGGAGCTGCCAGGCCAGGTTCCCGGGGGACCAGCATTCATTCAAGGCCGCCTGAACAGCCCATGCAGAGTCCCCGGAGGCCGAGCTGGGCTCTGCGAGCTGGACGGGGCTTTGTGCTCTTTGTCCCTAGGTCAGTGTCTGGGCCTCTCCAGGAAGAAGATAAGATACTGGGTTGCCAGAGTCTGGCCTCATCTACCTCAGAGGTGGTGCTTGGTTGCCAGGACGGGACGTAGAGCTCGGGATCCCCAGCAGCAGGGCCCACCCTTGTCCCATCCCTGCCTGGTGCGGAGCTCAGCAGGGGAGGGAAGTGACAGAAGAATCCCCCAGCAGAGGCATCTGTCAGGGGTGGGGAGGGATGGCCTGGGGATGAGCTCCTCGGGCGAGAAGAGGCCTGCCGTCAGGTGGAACAGGGAAGGGGACCCTTAGCAGCCCCTTGTCAGGTCTCAGTTGCCAGCACCAGGAGCCACCTTTCATTTCTGCCCCGCCCCCACCCGTTGGTGGCCTTCCAGCTGGTCCCGCCAAGATGAAACTCTACACATCTGGGACTGGGCTGGTGGGCGGGGGCGCCTCTCCCATTACTGATGGCTGCCATGGTGACCAGATAGTGCTGGGTGGGAGGGTGGGGGTGGGGGACTTGGAACATCCAGGGCTGCACCACAGGCCCATCAGGGCTCTGGGGACACGTATAGTTTTCTGAGCATCCCTGAGTCCTCCTCTGCCTGCTGGGCAAGCTGCAGCATTAATCATGTCTCTGGCCTCCAGCTGGGCCTTAATACTTGACCAGACCAGGCAGGCCTCATACCTCCCACATGCTGGGCCTGTCTCTTCCTGGTCTGATGGGCGGGACGGACCCCTGCCCACACAGAGTGCGTGGTCAGGAATAATGAGTAGGAGGTACAGTGAGCAGACTAACAAAAAGATTGATGGGAAAGTCAAGGGTGCACCGAGCAGGTGACATTTGTAGGTGAAGTCTGAAGGAAGTTACGATCCCTGCTAGCGCCTGGGGGAATAACATTCTAGGCAGCGGGAATAACCAGTTGCAAAGGCCCTCAGGCTGGACTGTAGGGTGGGGGGAGGGGTCCTAGAGGCACAGTGAGGTGGCCAGTGTAGCAAATGGGAGCAAGATAGAAAGGAGAGCATGAGGGTAGGTTGAGTCCCAGCGAGAAGCTGGCTTTTTACTCTGCATGATGGAAGCCATGGACGGCTGTGAGCAGAGGGAGGACAGCAAGCAGGCTCCTTCTGGTATCTGTGTGGGATAAGCAGGAAGCCAGGATACCAGGCAGGAGCCACTAGGGGGGGTTCAGGGCCACAGGAGGCTGTGCATGTACAGAGAGGTGACTGAATTCGTAAACATTCAGGGCCAACTGGATGTGTTGCTCAACTGGACGAAGGTTGAAGAGGAGAGACGTGCGCCTCCTCAGTCCTCTCTATTTTCACCCATACACCTGAAGGTCAGGTCAGGCCTCCCACAGGGCCCACACTGATTGTTGCACTCTACGTCTTAAAGGCTTTGGGAAGAGGTCCAACGTGGGAGGGAAAGCAGAACACAAGAATGTGGGAGCCCTGGAGGGTTGTCATTGTCAGGGAAGGTGATATCCCTAACAGGTGACCTCGATCATGGCCACTGGGGGCTTCAGGCACAGGGCCTGATCAATGGACAGTAGAGTATCACCAGGGGTGTTCCCGATGGAACCAGTAGTCTTGATCCAGCCTCTGAGTCCCAGCACATGAGTGCCCACTCCCTCTGCCTCCCCTGCAGGCCTGTGTTAAACCTGCTGCAGGGGAGGCCTGCCAGGTACTCAGGGTCGTGGATAGCAGCAGGTGGCTCTGAGGCCAGGAATGGTGAAATCCGAGGGAGGGACGGGACAGGGCCGGAGAAGCATGCTGGGGGGCCCTGGAAGGAGAATTATCGGCGAAGGGCGGGTGCTCACCGTGCCCCACATCGCGGACACTGAATGGTGGG